ACAAGAGGTAGTCTTCACTCCAGCCCTTTCTAGTTCTTGTGTGGCAAATTTTGCAACTTTGGGGAGGTGTAACTTGACGGGGAATTCACTTTTCCAGGTTTTTTTTGTGGTTTCTTTATGCTGGCCAGGACTCTGTCAATCAGCAAAAAGTGAAAAAAATCTGAGAGGGTAATGTTCAAACGTGTGCGATTTGGCGTGGAATGGCTCATATATGATTAAGGCTAATAATAATCTTAACAAAATACGGTATGTATATATGAGCCATTCCAAGCTATGTGGTAGACTTTCGTCGCTCAACCTTCTAGATTTGTTTTCTTTTGTATATATATAAATACACATAAAAAATGAAAAAATCTTAGAGGTCAATTGACAAAAGTGTGCGACTTGGCCTGGAATGGCTCATATATGAATATACTGAATTTTGATAAGATTGTTGTTAGCCTAAAGCATTATCGCTTTTCAGTTGACTATGACTGTCTCTCGGTGGTTTTTAAAATATTTGAGACAGTTCTTTTAAACAGTGATCAAATTAGTTGATAAATTTCAGGACTGTTAAACACTTTCGAAAAGTTAAAGATTTAAAACAGATAAGGATTTGAAACAAATGAAAAGAAATTTCTTTTATTTTTTACAGCATATAATGACAGGAAAGATGCTCGAGCATTTTAAGTGGTCCAAATTCTGAGAGGTGTAATCTATTTTTTTTAGTTCAGTATCGCTGTAACAATTTATTGTATAAAAGATAAGTATGAGAAATTTTGGGAAGCGAATTTTTATTGAGGACTTTTAAAAAAAGAAATCAAGATCAGAATTTCTTAAATTTATCTGTAGCATACGTTGGTGAATACCTCAAACAAATAAGACAACAGGTGGTGTTTGTCCATCAATGATAATCTGATTGGGGTAAGCAGTAGGAAGCAGAAACTTATTAATAAGAAAAATCTTTTTAGTATATGTTCTTAATCTCTATTTATGATAGCTTTAGAAATTAACAGTGCTAGAACGAAACCGGTTCGTTTTTTATAACTAAAACTTTATCTACTTAAAAAAGAAAATCTTTTCAACGTTAATACTACTCTTCAATTAACTTATGAGAACATAAGTTATGTATCAGTAGTTGAGAAAATTGCGAAAAACACCAAAAAAACTCTTCAGCAAAGTAATTTTTGTTTTTGAAGAAATATAGCAAAATTTTTCTATAAGTAATTGATAAATATTCTAACAAAAACCATCAGCTTTATTTGTGGCCTGAAAAAAAAGAAGCGAAGGCTTTGTTTACTCCTCTATACAAACGTTCTTCCTTTTTTTCTTTAAGGTTTAATCATGACCATACTTTTTCATGTCAGCACATTTTTCACAACCGTTTTTTTGGTCATTGTTACATAAGCAAGAAAAGGGCAAAAAAAGAAGAAAAATTGCTTTCTATAATAACTTTTTCTTGAAAAAAAGTTCTTTTGAAAAATATAATTGAAAAAAAAAATAAATTTGCGTAAGGTTAAAAAGTAATCTGTTACAGCAGCAGCAAGTCTAGTTAATTATTAGTTTTCTTTTAACTACTTATTGCAGCATCAATAAGTATAGCAATAAAATATACAGGATTTTAACGAATAATCAGCACATGATAACCCAGCAAAAAAGTTGGTGTATCTTTTCTTGAATGTACCAAAGAAAAATGTATCTTGCCGTTGTATTAAAAAAAGTTGACTACCAGTCAAAAAGTCAAACTGGGTTTAAAACTTGAAATATGTTTTACCAACAGAAAGCAACTTTGGCAGACCAAAATAATAACTTAAGCACTTTTGCTTAGCATCAAGATTAGTTTTTAGCCTAGTAAACGTCTTATTTTTTTTCTTTTTTATCTGTTCCAAAAACCGCAAAAGAAGTTTTTTTTGCTGATTATTGCTTATTTTTTTGTCAGGAAAGGTAACTGAAAAATATTTAGGGTAGAGGAAGATAGAATTGTAGTCAAATATAAGTATGCTTCTATGTAAAGCCATTTTTCTCTTCTCTGTTTGCATTCTCATCGGCTCTTCCTCAGTTTCGTCTTCAGACAAACAAACTGATCGGGTGGGACATTGTATCAAATTTAGTAGCATTTTATTCTTCTATAGAGTAGTCAAATTTTCGAGCGATTTTCTTTCTGCTGGTATGAAATCACAAATTATACTGTAATATATTTTTTCCTCGTAGGTTTTTGCTTGACTTCGCATAAGAGGAAAGTATTCTCTACTTTTTACTTTCTTGCTGGATAAAGTTGCTTCGCGATACAATAGTCGAGTAAAAAATTATATTTTTTTAAAGACAGCGGTTAAGTTAATATGCCAAAAAACTTTAAAAAACTAAAGCCTAAATGAACAAAGCCGGATAATTCTAAAAAAAAAATAACTTGACTAAGAAAGGGAAATATGAAAAACTCATGAGCGACGAAGTAAAGATCAACTAAATCTGGAAAACCAGTGAATAACACCCGCAGTCAAAAGATAAGTTATAATGATCAGGCTAATAATAAGTTTATAAAGATTCAGTATATGTATGCAGGCCATTGGCAACCTTTTTAACAGTTATTTTTAAAAAACTTTGCAAAATTATTAGAAAACAAAAATTGTAATTAATCACCTATTAATGAAGTAACAGAGTTCAGGAATTTTTTTAGCCATTATATGTATACATATATAGTCTTTTCATTAATTTAGTTTTGAATACCGCTGCTTTTATGCTGCCTTATTTGGTCTGCAATATTTTTATTCAACGTCACGATTTTCTTTCGTTTAGCCAAATAAGTGGTTGTTGAAAGGTTTTTCAAAAAGTTCAGCAGTGCTGAAAATTTTGAATAATTCTAATTATTTTTGACGCACTCAGTTAAAAGTCAACTTAGGTAGGTATTTTAGTTTTTTTTCAACACTTTTGCAAAATTTGTTATCAGAGGTGTTAGGTATAGTCTTATGTACTTTTTCTTCGTAGGGCTTTTCGATTTTGTCTAATTTATAATCATTATATTTGTATTGCTGATGATAACATTTACCGTGATTAATACCTGTATACCTATTGAACCTACAGAGAAATAAAAAAGTTTTATTTTATTTCTCTTGTGACTAAAACATTTTTTTCATTTAGATCTTTCTCTTTTCATGACGATAAATGCCAGGAATAATT